ATTATTAGATAACTTCTAGGTTCTTGTATTTACTGGGAAACAACTCTTGGCCACTAACTGTGGGACAGGATACTATCACTGCACAGTCACACAGAGTCACCATGCTACAAAGCTACAGCACTAGAAATGCTCTGGGATTATGTCCAGAGCAGACTATGTTTCTAAAGCACAGATGGTATTTTGCAGAGGGTTTTTGTTTGGGGGGCGGAGGTGGAAGAGATAAAGAATTGGCCTAATTTATGAGATGTCTGTACAGAACCATTAATTTTAAGAGGATTTATAAAGACACTTTAAAAGTGAAATAAAAGAGGGTGCCTCTGAGTTGAAAATAATTTGAATTGTGCAATTAAATCCAACACATGCAGCTCACATGTGTGTATAGTTTGCATGGTTAGTAGCTGAAGCATTAACTCAGCACTGTACACTTATGTCATAGCCATCATAATTTCACATGAGAGAAAGGGAGGAATGCCACATTTAACGGCTTTCTACAGTTTTTATAAAGCACTTGTATTAAAAATAATTACTTTATAAAACATCTGCAGCCAGATCACAGTCAATTTTTAAACAATTGCTTTAAAGCTCAGTGAAAATTATCAGTACTAGAACTGCAGAATTTAATCAATGTTTTACTCCAGTACAGTGGTACCTTGGTTCTCGAATTTAATCTGTTCTGGGAGTCTGTTCGACTCCCGAAACTGTTTGAAAACCAGGGCATGGCTTCCAGTTGGCTGCAGGTGCTTCCTGCACTCAAACGGAAGCCGAGTCTGACATTCGGCTTCCGAAAAATGTTCGCAAACTTGAACACTTACTTCCGGGTTTGCGGTGTTCAGAAGCCAATTTGCTTGACGACTAAGCCATTCGGGAAGCAAGGTACCACTGTACTCTAATTCTCATTTATCTGTGGGGTGGGGGTACAGAATCACCATCTTTAAAGTATGAATAGCAGAATGCTATGCCCCACCTCTGTTCTGGAAACGAAAGGGACACTATTATTCCAATGGTATGAGCTGAAAGCATTAACAGTCCATTTTCTCTTTATGCCAACTTTTTGAAGGCCTGTTTTGAAGAAGCAGATCTACAGAAGCAGGTCCAGCTTGTTCTGCTCTGGTTTTCCCAGCCCTATGAAGAGACGGCGGCTTGCCAGAAGATATAGTGTTGTTCTCAAAGTGGAGTATATGGTCAAGGATTTGGGGCCAAAATAATTTGCCAGTCACAGTGGGAGAGCCTGTCCAAAATCCCATTATGTTATAACTAGATGAAGCATAATTTGGTGGATTTTGTAAAAAAGGAGCAGGTAGTTTTTTCTTCGGGGGAAAAAAAGCAAATCAGGAAGATGGAGAAATGACAAGGAAGCGGCTTCAAAGTTAGAATATACGTAATATATTGATAGATATAAATAACAAAGAATAAATATTGTGATAAGTAAGTGGGTTGCAGATTTAAATGAAGATATTCTGGAGGTAGTATGAGAATCCATGTGGGAGCAATACAGACATAATTCACCACGTGGAAATCTTTTAAAGTAATAGCAAGATAGTACATGACGCCATAGAGAATTAAAACGATTTATCTGGAGGAGAAAGCTGAATGCTGGCAATGTAACGCTGCATATTTGATGGAAAGGTCTGGTTCCACGAAAGCTTTCAATACTTATATTGAGATGTGGTGCTGTACCCTCTTAGAATTTAACTGGGATATATGGAAAGTGCTAGATCAGAAATGGAAAAAAATGTATGGTTTACTATAGCAGCAAAAATATTTGTGCAAGATTAGGAAAGAAACAGAAGTACAAAGAATAGTGGATTGGGAAAACTGAACATTTAGAGAGAAAGAGAACTTGGACATGTTTTGGACTTAATCTAGAGATAGTTCTTAATGGGAAATATTAAAGGAACTATGCCTTACCTTGTTATGGTTTACTGATATGGCATTGAGTCTGACTGTGAACGACAGATTCAAACCTACACACTCAGGCATGAAATGCAGCTCATTCATTCGAGTCATAGTCTCAGCCTGATCTACCCAGCAGGGTTAATAAAAGATGAATGAAATGACAACTGCTATGGTTTCTTATGCTATTGACCTCTGGGTTTCATGCTACAGGCTAGGAGCCTTTTTTCCCCAAATCATCAGGATCTCCAGGAAAGAGGAGGGGGAGATAGACAAAATTGCCAACTATCCATTAGAATACCACTTAGTTAAATTGCAAAAATCAAGCATTCCAGCTTAGCTAGCCCATCAATGGAATTAATAAGAGTCACGTGCCAGATAAGCACAACAGCATTAGGGCAAGTCATTCCCAAAGACAAATAAGAGCTACTGCCCAGGCTCTAATTGAGGTCTCTATACCCCCCTTAATATGCGCGCGGGCATGTGCACACACCTGCCGCGCACGCACACACACACACACACACACACACACAGAGGGAGGGAGGGAGTTTTGTAAAAAGTCAGACCATTAAAACATCTAGCACAGTAACTGACTGGCATGAGCATCTAAGACAGAGACTGGTCTTTTCTAGTATTCTGCCCAAGTACCTTCTAAACAGATACAGTGGTACCTCGGGTTAAGTACTTAATTCGTTCCGGAGGTCTGTTCTTAACCTGAAACTGTTCTTAACCTGAAGCACCACTTTAGCTAATGGGGCCTCCTGCAGCCGCCGTGCCACCAGAGCACGATTTCTGTTCTCATCCTGAAGCAAAGTTCTTAACCTGAGGTACTATTTCTGTGTTAGCGGAGTTTGTAACCTGAAGCATATGTAACCTGAAGCATATGTAACCCGAGGTACCACTGTATTGTGGTCAAATTCTTCCTGGGATAGCCAACATGGTGCCCTCTGAATTAACTCCCTTGGGGGGGAAACTGTTCCACAGCATGGGGCTACTCCTTGATCCATCACTGTTGCTTAAGGTCCAGGTGGCCTTGTTGACTAGGAGTGCCTGTTTCTAGCTGTTCAGCAGCTACTACCCTTTTGACAGATGTAGCTTCGCCACAGTGATCCATGCTCTGGTAAATTCCAGATTGGACTATTGCCATGCACTGCCCTTGAAGACAGTCTGGAAGCTGCAACTTGTGCAGAATGCAGGAATAAAGCAGAAGTGGGCATTTCTAGCTGGACTCAGAATATACTGAGTAAACTGCTCTAGTACCAATTCACTACCAAGCCCAGTTTAAATTGTTGATTTTGGCATTCAAAATCCTAAGTGACTTGGGCCCCAAATATTTGAAGACTCCTCCTCCCATATCCACCTGCCTGGACTGATGGGAGGGCACTGCTGGCAGTACCACCTCCTTCTGTGGTTTGTGGGCTGGTGGCGCATGGTGGTCCCCAGGTTGTAAAATGTTATCTCCTCTGAGGTGCATCTTGTATAGTTTTCAGCATCAGGTCAAGATCCCCCTCTTTACCCAAGATTTTAAGACAGTGGATGTTTTCCCTTGTGCTGTCTTGCTGCACACCTGTTTCGCTGTTCTCATTATTTTGTTTAGTTCTGCAGCTTTAACTTGTGGTTTTCAATTAATTGTACTATTTTTATATGGCCTGCCCCGAAACCATTCAGTGAAGAGAGGGCTAGAAGTAGAAAAAATAAACAAATATATAAAGTCATCCCTGACCATTGATGTTGCCAGCTGGTGCTGAGGGCAGTTGTACTCCAAAACATCTGGATATTGCTACTTGGGACTAAGTCTCATTTAATTTAATGAGGCTCCCTTCTGAGTAGGCATTAACAGGATTTCATTGTGAACCTATTCTCCCATCTGACCCCACAGCTGCACTTTTATTCAGCCCTGCACAATACATTTTGCTGCCTGAGGTAAAGGACAAGATAGCACTTCCACTTTCCATGTACAGAAACCACCTCGATTGGCAGCTGGAATTTTGCTTTAATAGCTGCAGCAAGATAGCATCATCCACTGCACCTGAGGACAACAGGTTAGTTCAGAGAGTACATGACAAGCTACATAGCGCACACAGCTCTGATCTTCAAGGGAAGGGAATGCCCAGAGGTTCAGGAGGAATTCGTCACCTGAAGGGACTGCCTTCCTCTGCCTAATGGTAGAGCTGGCCCTGACTTTGATTTTTGAGCCATGTCTGCACTGCATAGTGCACACAGCAGAGTATAACTTGTATTTATACTTTTGACTGACTAGGAGAACTTACTAGTTAGAAATTTAGGCCAATAAAGATTAGAGAGAACCTAATCTTAGGGTATCTATGCATGATGAATCTCTCACTCACACAGCAATTTCCCTAACAGCTAGTAAGAATGCAGCCATTAAGAAAACCTGGTGATGAGTCAAGATTGAATCCATGTGAGGGCAGGTGGGCCAGAACACATACAGCCAGGGTTCCTGTGCCTTTTTATAGTAGTATGCAAGATGACATTTTAGCAGCTGCAGGTTTTTTCACACTGGCACAATAAGCTGCATTTACTCTAAAACACCCCCCCCCTTAGATATAGCTAAAGGTACAGGAACCCCTTCAGGAGCACTAGACCAGGGAGGGATGGAGAAATGTGGTGATACACATGAGGGAATGGGCAATGCATGCACAAACTAAGCTTGCAAGTTCAGTTATACCATTACTATTCCTCCAGAAATAACCACGAACAATCCCTGGAGGGTCAGGTTAGAGTGATTCTACCTTAGCAAGAAGAACATGAAACTAGATGGGTCTTCAGGTAGCTTCCAATGCAATGCAAAACTGCAACACAGAAAGCCTGCTTTTTCTGCATTTAGTATTTGTAAAGCATTTCCCCATCAACTAGAGAGGGCAGCGAGAGGCACATTTTCTGCTGAAATATACAACAGCAAAAATGTGCAAGCAACATTTTGCCTACTCAGTTACTAAATATTTTAAATGCTCCCTTTCCTGCTAAATGAAATCCATTAAACACCCCCAACATTTCACACAGCAGGCAATAAAAGAGCAATTGTTAAGAAACATTTTGAGCTTTGTAGACATGATGCTACATATGGAACAAGCATGGTTTCTTACCTGATTTCCTTTTTGAGGATCCATAATCCCTGAAAAAAAGGCAACAACAGATAGACATGGTTAGGTCTTGAAGCACAGGGGAGAAAAAAGGTAGAGCCCACTTGCTCAGAAGCACGTTGTGGGCTTCCCCTCTTTTAAACTGGAGCCTGGGACCACAAGGCATTGACACACACACCCAGCCGGTGATGCACCCTCCCTTGATCAGCAGCAGCTGGTGCTTCTGCAGCAGAGCCTAACAAGCCCATGTGATCCACTAGAAAGAGCCGACCATCCACTCAAGGGAGGGGGAGAGCATATCAATTCTCCCTTCTTTAAATCAAGCTTCAGATAGAGCTGTTACTGGCTTAACCCTTTATCGTTTTCATCCAGCACAGAGGCACAAGCATGCCGGCTACTCCTTGCAAGGTTACCGCATTTGCTTCATTAAGCGATACTGTGTGACGCTTGCAGTACTATGGTTTCAAAAAAGCAGTTTGCCATCTGCATACCCCTGCAGCTTCTAGTTATCTCTGCCTAACACTTGTCTGTGCAAAAGAAGAGTAGAAATGCCTGGCTTCTTTCACATAAGGAGAATAAATGCTGTTTTCTCACTTTTGGTTCTTTTGAATATGGGGCTGACAAGGTTTCTTTATTTCTAGAAAATATTTTATTGACTTGTACATTCACATAGATAGCTGTTAAAGGAGAAGCTCTTGGATTTCCAAAGCAGGATTTTCCCACCATCACCACAATCATATGCATGCTTACTTAGAAGTAAATCCCAATAAGTTCAATGGGAACTAACTCTCAAGTAGGTGTGCATAGGATTTCAGCCTTAAACATGAGAAAATGCACATTTTCCAATAGCCATTTCAATAAATTGCCCATCTATTAGTACAATCTTTTCCCTATTAGAAATGAATAACAACCTGGTGTTCCCCAGATGCTGCTGGACTCCCAACTTCTAGTAGCCCCAGCCAGAATAGCCAACAGTCAGGATTATGGAAGTTGGAGTTCAACATCTGGAAGGCCACAGGTTCCCCACCTCTACTTTAAGTGAAGCAGCTCTCCAAAGTCATAAATGACAATAAAGGCATTTCATGAAAACATACAAATAGGAAATTGGTTAAAGCATTTAAATAATGATTAAGAACCTGTTCCCCACCTCTTGAAGCTACTGACCATTCATAGGTGATTGGGGGGAACTGAAGAGAGAATAGAATACAATGTATGGGTGTAAACAATACTGTGAGCAGAATACCCAGTGGTACCAATGCTTCTCTTTGGGGACACAACCCCAGACTACTTATCCCCTTCCTTCTGGAGCTCTGAAATTGTTAAAATTGAGACGTTTGTAATGTTTCTAGCATTCTGACCCCTTTCCCTCTTTCACGAGACAAATAAACCAATGAAATAAAAGTAATTAGTATCCTATTCATTTACTAAGCTAAATCGTTGCATTGTGGAGCCCTCTTCAACATGAATCTGTTCCTTCACAATCCGGGTCAACTTTTTCCATAGACTTAGAATGCCTCTCATTGTGATGGTATATTAAGTACAAGAGCCCAAAATTCCTTGCCTCCAGCAAAAACAGGGCTTGAGGAAGGCCAAAATTTCTGAAATTCTCTCTGTTCAAGCAGAGTAGACAGAAAGAAGGGCCCTGTGTTGAGGAGAAGGGGCTGCACAGACTTGAAGCAATACTGTGATGGTATTAGAAGAAGCTGCAGCCTAGTTCTACACATGTTTACTCAGGAAGACTTCCCATTCTTCAATGGACCTATACCCATTATATATGGCATAAGCGCTTCTCAGCTTGCAATCCCAATACAGTCATACCTTGGATCCCAAATGCCTTGGTATTCGTCCATTTTGGCTCCTAAACGCCACAAACCCAGAAGTGAGCATTCCAGTTTGCGAACGTTCTTTGGAAACTGAATGTCCGATGGGGCTTTCACGGCTTCCAGTCGGAAACTGCACCTTGGTTTCCGAACGTTTTGGAAGTCGAACGGATTTCCCGAATGGATTCTGTTTGATTTCCAAGGTACCATTGTATATTTGCACAATGAGGGACTTGCCACATCCCAATTCCAGAGACCTTCTTTCTTTCTTTCACCACGCTGACAGCCCATCAGTACTGATGGTTGGCCCATTTCAGAGAACTACCACATTCACACCACACATTTAAACCACTATGATGCTACTTTAGACAATTTACAGTTCCCTGCAAATAGATTGTCAAGTCACTCTGAAATTGTAGCTCTGTGAGGAGAATACAGGGCCCTTAACAACTCTCAGCACCCTTAACAAACTACAGCTCCCAGAATTCTTTGGGGGAAGCAGTGATTGCTTAAAGTGGTATCACTATACTTTAAATGTACAGTGGTACCTCAGGTTACAGACGCTTCAAGTTACAGACGCTTCAGGTTACAGACTCCGCTAACCCAGAAATAGTACCTCGGGTTAAGAACTTTGCTTCAGGATGAGAACAGAAATCATGGGGTGGCAGCGCAGCGGCAGCGGGGAGGCCCATTAGCTAAAGTGGTACCTCAGGTTAAGAACAGTTTTAGGTTAAGAACGGACCTCCAGAACGTATTAAGTTCTTAACCCGAGGTACCACTGTACAGTGTGAATGTGGCCTAATTCTATCCTTCATCTATCAGTGTCATCTCTGGGCAGGATGTATTCTCCTCCTTCCTGCTGTTACCACTCCCCATTTGCTTACCCTCTTTCTCTGGACCGAATCCATACTATCAGTTAGAGGGAAAGGGAAAGATAAGTAAGTGGAAGCTGATGCTGTTTGTCCTTGCTCCTGTCACTGCTCTCTTCCTTAGCCTGGTAAAATCAGAGTGACAGAAAGGACAACCATCAGGACCAGGAACAAGGGGAAAGAAATTCACAAGGACCCAAAAGAGGACATAAAGAAGGGTCCAAACAGGCACAAAATGAATGAATAATTGGTGATGGAGTCAGGAGGATGACATGCAAATCCATTGAGTGGGATAATATATGTGTGTGAAGCTACTTTTTTGTCCTGAATGTTTTGCCTTTGACATTATTCAACTTTCCCTGATGAAAGATGAACCTTGAGTTTGATGAGTTCATCAGTGCATTAGGATATAATATATGGCAGTGCAGCACCAGGAAAAGACCCATGCCTCATGGGGAAAGCAGTGACTATGGAATAACAAAACAGGAGGCTTCAGAGGGCAGGAACAATCAATTAAAACCACATGACCTTCCCCAGAAAAGGTCATCCAGACTGGGATATGCAACACTGATGTTTATTGCTGGCTTTTTCCTGGAAAGTTAAAGGACAAAATAGATATTGCTTAAGAATCATATCCCCCATCTGGTTCTGCTTTGCCTTGTTTATCCCTTCAATTTGTGAACTTTTGCACAAGAGACAGAATATTTACCTCACAAAGGACCTGCCCCATAAAGCAGCCTGGACCGCCTGCAGCCCAGTCTTTGAGATACATCTTGCATCAGACCAAATTTAATTTTCTCCCATTGTGAAGTTTTCATTGAGGGTATCTTTTTATAGAATGTAAATAATGTCAAACAGAACTGGAGAAGTTTAAAAAGCACAGTGAGGAACAACACAAAGGTGAGTCAATATTATTTTGAAATATTCATAGTAGAAATATCTGCAAGTTGCAAAATAATGCTCATTGCATAAATCATTTAAATGCTTTTAACATAGCTGGGTCATAGATTAATGACATTACACTACAAGTTTAAGCTTGCTTCACACCCATTGACTGCATAGGTGCTATGCATTTCTTTGATCACTTTACCTCAAAATATGGATTTTTTTGGTAAACATTTTTGGCAGGAGAACTGCATTGCAAAAATTGGAGAAGTGAGAATTTGGAAGCATGGCACTGTTTCATTCCTTGTGTTGTTTCAGAAAGTATGAATTTGGTAGCCTTTGCTTCAAATATGAACTGGGGGGGGGGGATTCTCATCAGTGTTTGAATGGTGTAGCCAGACTTTTTAAACCGTTAGTCCTCACTGGTAGGAGGGTGTGCACACTTGGGTACCACTTCTGGTAGTAAAATGTCTTGGGCCAGCAGTAGTCAAAAACCTTGACCAGCACTAGCTGTAGATTTTTAGATCACTTTCATGATGAAAAAATAGAATTGTGGTTCTAAAATAACTGCCTTTTTAGTGCTGAGTCCTAAACCCACTCACACACATGCTCTGGGATGATTAATATTTTTGTGGTTTTTGATTAGTTAAGGTCCCTTGTTCATAATTTCAAAGGCAGTCTTGATTTATCAGGTTTCCTAGCACTATAACACCAGGGGCCCATTTCCCTCTGAAATGGCACAATGATTTTTTGCAATACATAATTACTGGGATTAACCTATATCCTACAAGATGTGGGTGAGAGAGAAATGAAGCCAATTGTCAAGGTTTACAGTCTCCATTTTTCTTCTCAACAGTCATACAGTCTCTCTCTTGGTATACTGTTAGTATTAGCGATGTCCCTTTGATCTTGTGCTTTTGCTGCTCATTTTTCTGAGCTAAACTACTCTAGAAAGAAGCTGTAGTGTTGGCACTCTATCATTTCTTTATATAAGTTGTTGCCTGATTTAATTTAACACGCGCTTCCTGGTCATATTCTATTTGCAGTTACAAAAGGAAACACAAAGACAACTCCTTATCCAACATGACTAAAAGCAGAGTTCATGCACATCAAAATAGATCCTATAAAACTACATACAGTTGTGGGGAAAACACCAGAACAGACTTCCTAGAGGTCGGGCACTACCAGCTTTCATACAGCTTTTGCATAAAAGGCTTTGTGTTCATAGTTCTGTCAGGCTATAAGATGCAATCCAGACCAGCTCTCATAAGTATTAAGCATGTCAGGACATATGATGGCATGCTCCAGTATGTGTTAAGCTTATACCAGAGGCCTCCCATAACCTGTTCGGCAGTAATTCTATGAGATGGCTATCAGGCACTTCACTTTTTATGCATATCCATCTGAGAAAACACCTTTTCAAATGGACATCTTTCTAACTTTCTGAACAAAAAATGC